CAATAACTTAAAAATAACTTAGAACTATCAATGAATGCTCTTAAGCCTTACTAAGGCCAGAGCGAGATGCGAATTAGTGTTGTTATATATACATATATATTTTTAATTTTTATTCACTGCTTTTTGCTTTCTTTCCTTCACTTCCATCAGCACTTTCACTGGATAGAGATCACTTGGTAAAATATCCAAAGAGGTTTGGCTTTGCCTTCTTCTTAAAATGTTTCTAAAATGACTTAGGCCAATGCCATTACTCTGAGCAGCAATACAGCTAGTGTGAACTTTTTTGGGATGTTTCTTTTCAATAAAATCAGTCACTTTCTGATAATACCTCAAGATTTCCTTTATCGAGCAAGATCTTCCACGACGAAGCAAACAGGCGGACTGAGATCAATGAACAGAAGTGACTAAAAAATGGCTCTGTAAACTAATGTAACGTCATATGGTGAGTTTTTGTTCGTATCGTGGAGCAAAAATATGTTTGAATTTCATGTCGTATCCTGAGGTACCACTGTACTTATTATATTTGTCAACTTGGACATAAATTATTAATAGGACTGTTAAACTGGTGTTAACTATTAATGCAAAATTGAGTAAAAGTTCTTAAAGAAAACAGAATTTCTTTATTGAGCCTCCTGTACACATACTTTTGTTTACAACTGTGTCTTGTTTGTAAGTTCGAGCTGAACATTGTAAAAGATTATGAATCAATTTAAAAATCCACCAAAAAGCCTATTATTGTCGGGAGTTGGATTCTTGTATTTCTTAAAGATGATAGCCATTGTAACCCTGCTGAAGAGGGGCGTGATAGCCCAAAACACAGTTGTAAACAAAAGTATGTGTACTGGAGGCTCTATAAAGAAATTCTGTTTTCTTTAAGAACTTTTACTCAATTTTGCATTAATACTTAACACCAGTTTAACAGTCCTATTAATAATTTATGTCCAAGTTGACAAATATAATAATAGAAATAAGGACAATAAGGCAATAATAATTAAGACCAACAAGTACTTTATCCACACTTTCCAAAATACAGTGGAACCTCACTTAACGAGCAAAACAAATTGTAATAAAATGGCTCGCTTAATATGTGACATTTCACATAACGAGTGATGAGGAGAGGGAAAGTCCTGGATTGTGCACATGCTACATCACATCAGTCTGTATTCAGCACTTGTTCCGCTAGCATCTTAGTGTCACTTGTGATCACACATTTTTCCAAACTCATGTTCACACATATTACATATAAACATCAACAACCATGGCTCATTATATATTGGGTTGTTCGGAAAGTAATTTAATTTTTTTTTCTGTGGGAGAAACACAATATTTTTATAAATAAATAAATATTTTATTGAATTATATATCAACCATTTTGGTCAAATACCTGTTACCATCGTTTCTGGTAGTAACATGATTCCATGTACATAAAAGTTTTGATCTTTGCTTACAAAAAACTGATTCAAGTGATTTTTGACATTTTCATTTCAAGTAAATGTCTTACAGTTTAAGACATTTTGTACAGACCAGAACAAGTAATAATCTGAGGGTGCCCAATCTGAGGAATATGGTTGGTGTAATAGCACATCCATCTAAGCTGTAACAGTTTCTGACAAGTTACCAAACTTGTGTGAAATTTGGCATTATCATGGTAAAACACTACACTTTTTTGTGTCATCAATTCTGGCCTTTTCTGTTTGATGATATTACTCAATTTGCTTACTCAATGGCAGTATACTTTCAAATCAATTGTTAAATAGTCTGGTAAAAGCTCAAAAAAATGTCTTTAAAATCCCACCAAAGAGAGCAACTCTCTTTAAGAACATGTGGAACCCATATATCTTTGTATATATATATATATATTGAGCTTTGAAACAAAACCTATTCATTTCCAGTAATTATAAATGGTTCAATTCAACAAATTTAATCTCGTAGTGATTTCAAATGTTGTTATTTGGCAGTTTGCTTCAATCTGTACCTTTATTTTGTTTTCACTGGCTTCAACTGGCCATCCAGAATGTGGTGTATCTTCAATATTGAAATTGCGAGAACACAATTTTGTAAACCAGTTTTGACACTGTCTTACTCTCAGCACATTTTCTCCATACATGTACCACAATTTTTTTCTTGTTTGAACAGCACTTTGATTTTCCATATTTAATGGGACACCGAAAAAAAAACAAGAATCAAACAAAATTTTTTACAAATAAGCCTTAAAATGTCAGCTATCAAAGTATATAATGAAAATTAGGTTTAAAATTAAATTGGCTGGTAAAAATACATCTAATTCCTCTAGTAATAAAAAACAAAATTACTTTCCAAACAACCCAAAAATAAACATGCCAGACAATATGCCAAATTCTTGGGCTATGTAAAGGCTATAGTTAAATATTAGAAATTGATTAATTTGACTAGAGGTAGGCAGTTTTGCTGCCATTTTGTATTGAATTTAATGACCAATTCCAAATCAAATTTTTGAAATGTCTAAATTAAAAATTAATTACTTTTAATTTTAAATTTAATATGAGATGGAAGCATAACTGCCCATCTCTAGTCAAATTAATTAATTTCTAATATTTATAAGGACTATTTTTTAAATAAGGTCCGTTTATGAATGAGTGAGAATGGCATGTGATCATGGCAGTGTGCATGCACTTCTGCTCCCAGCATGCTTTGTGCATGTTTAGACTCCAGTTGCAGTCATATCATCTGTCTGTGTGCTGAGCTGTAGAAATTTATAATGTTTAAGAAAATTGAGTCCCCTGCCGACTATGAGATACAATCTGTTATTCGATTCTTGAGTGCAAGAAACTTGACAGCAACAGAAATTCACTGTCAGATTTGGGAAGTTTACAACAATCAATTCTGATGCGTATTCTGTGACCTTGAGAAAATTCTGGCGTGCCATACAAAACAAGCAGCATGTCTTCCAGTGTGATGTTGCTCCATGACAATGCAGGACCACATGTTTCTGCACAAACACAAGGTCTAATCAGTTCTTTTGGATGGGAACAACTGGATCATCCACCTTACAATCCAGACCTTGCACCCAGTGATTTTCATTTGTTTTGGTATTTAAAGGAATTCCTTGGTGGTCAACAGTTCAATGACAATGAAGAAGTGAAAACTTCAGTCATGGATTGGGCTTCTTCACAGGCAGCAGATTTCTTTGAAGTCAGAATTCAAAAAATTGTTGAGCAGTATGACAAATGTTTGAACAAAAATGGAAATTATGTAGAATACGGAAAAAAATATATTTTAATGATATCTACAATATTTTTCTTATTAAAAAACAGACCTTATTTAAAAAATACCCTTTGTAATTATAGCCTTTACATAACCTGAAAATTTGGCATATTGTTTGGCTGTTTATGAGACATATTTTTTTGATTTTTGTGTTTTCTGCAAATTGAATTTCCATTCCAGGTTGGTTCATTCCATGCTAGAAGAAAAGATGGAGGTGATTCACACTCCTTAACAATGTATATTGTATAATTTTCTTTAAATAAATGTTATACATAAAATATTTGAGTATATTTTTTGGCATGGAACATAGAATACCGGTATTCAGAGTAGAAGATTTTTGATTTGCATATTATTGTATTTTACATTAATTTATCTGGGAAAAATTGTTTCTCTTAACAAATGTTTTGCATTACAAGTAAGATTCTGGAATGAATTATACTTGTTAAGCAAGGTTCCACTATATTATTTTTCAATTGATTTGATTTCAGTTTTAATTTAAATTAATTAATTAATCTTGATTTTATTTTTAATTTCAGTTTCTGTTTTGATGTAAAACCCAGAGTTTTGATTATTTTCATTATTTTTAGTTTTAATTGACTGGCTAACTAGTATTAATAAATTTTTATTTAATTTAAGCACATCACCTTTAAACACGGATTCATGGATGTCATTTATATTATGCAAATGTCAATCAACATGGTTTTTAGTACGTTCCACTATAGTAGTGAAGTGCTTATACTTATAACTTTTGTGTGTCTGTGAGATGTGCACGTGCATGCTCCGTTCAATCCATTTATTGTGCATGTCCATGCACATGTGCAAAAGGGAACTGAATATTTTCATTTACAGTCACTTTAAGCTATAGTAAAAACTACCCAGTTCCTATGGAATCTATAAACCACATCCCTTACTGTATATTCAATGAAAAATTCTTCTGAACTACTACTTGATTCCAAGAATTTATAAAATTTATTTTAAACAAAATTAATATTTGATTTGCTTTTGTGGAGCATGCTATCAGATTGGCTTGACCAAGCTTGTTATTAATTAATTTGATTTAAATTCAATTGAGATGCATACATAAATGGAAGTAGTACCTTACCTGCATGCTCACTGAAATCTAATTTGAACAACAGTGTCATTGGTGGTTTATGCTGTGATGTCTCAGGATGCAAAACAAATCTTGGCCCCACTACTGAATCACTAGTCCTGTCATTGATTGATTGGGCCACCAACTTTCTTTAACATTGGAAGTATAGGAAGTTGACCATCAGAGGCCGGCTCTGCTGAGCAGCTTGTTCAGAAACCAAGTTACGCATGGAAACCATAGAAAATATAGCATTCAAAATTTGGTTTATAAACTGAATTGTTCATAACCTGAAATTTGTACTGCCATTTTAAACATGAATTGCTGGGTCAAGTTTTTGGTTTCAGCAAGGAAACGTAACATTTCATGTTTTGCATGTCACAATTAAGTGGCTTAATGATATTTAATCAAATTAATGGAATGGCTTGCATGTAACCCAGACATAAACACCATAGAAAACCTATGGGCTAATTTAGTTCATGCTAGATATGATGAAAAACAATATATTTCAGGTAAAGAACTGAAACAGGCTGTTCTGAATGTTTGGGAAAAAATTCTTGTAGAAAAATTCCAAAAACTTTTGGAATCAATGAAATATCAAGTTTTTAGCTTGTAACAAAGAAATGGAAGAAAAATTATGCAATATAACAGAATAAAACACATTTACTAAACCAGATGATAATTTTATTTACATGCTGAATTGAATAAAATTCTATGTAGAACAATATTGTAACTTAAGATGTTTAAAAATATTAAACATTTCTAATGTATTAATTAATTTCTATATAATTCCCAAGTTTTTCTCTTAAGATTTACAAAATTTCCAAGTGTAAATACTTGTTTTTTTATACCACTGTATCTGTACAAATTCTTATGAATATTGAACTAAACATATATGTGGATATAATTTAAAATTAAAAAATACTGATAAAGATTATGATAATTACTTTAAAAAATAAAAAAGTTTGAATACAAAAAATTACAATATAAAATGAGGCTTGAGAATCCAACTTGTTTTCATTTAAAAAGTATCTAGATTTACAGAGACCCAACCTGGTTATATATATATGATGTATCTAAAGTTGTGTCCATAAATATAGGGATGTGTTCCTGACACCAAAACATTACAAAAAGTTCATATGAACATGGGTTTGAAAATCCTTTGTTAGGAAGTTATAGGGTTTATTGCTAATGGTACATATGAGGCATTTAACAACATAGATTTACAAAAATTGCTCAAAGTAACCTCCTCCTGCTTTGATGCATCCCCTGAGCCTGCTTTCCACATTTTGCCATACTCTGTTCCTGGAGTGTTTTGAATTTGGTCAAAGCCATTTTGGGTCAATTCCTGTACCTAATGTCAATGTTATGAGGGAGCATATCCACACAACAATATCCTCACCTGACTGTCATCAAAAAAAGGGTTGTTGATCAAAAAAGAACAATTATACACAACAACCTTATCCCACAAACAACACTCAAACTTATCAAACAACAGGTTGCTGATTAACATCAACAGACAGAAACATTTATCATTAATGAAGATCATGTAAAATGTCAGAATAATCCAACAACAAGCACTGATTATAGCGCACACACAACAACTACCACTAATGATACTACAGACACTTCCTCATCCATCAGTGATAACATAGGCACAGATTTAGTTAATACACTCTCACTTATATTTCAGGAAACACTCACTAAATATACAGGTACAGATCCCACACAAATACCAAAAATGAACACATCAAAGATAGTAGGAAAAACACTAAATTATGTAAACACTCACTTACTACCACACTACATTCATTGAATTTCTACACTCTCAGACATTCATACATTAATTTATGCTGGGGCACTCATGATAGTGACACACCATGTACTGAAAATACAATCGCATACAGATACACACACAATAATTCTATCACAAGCCTGACTGGCAGAGAAGAATAGAAACACAAATAAATGACTTTAGATAGCAATTAGGCAGACTGACATAATACACTAAAAACAACATAACACCCAAATTAAAGAAACAACTCAAAAACATTTTCAAGAAAATCAAAACACACACAAAACATGAACATCACAACACACACATTACAGAATACATCGATACACTAAAACAAAAACTCGCAGCCTAAGCACGTAGACTCAAACAATACAAAACATGTACACTACAAAAACAACAAAATAAATTATTCACAAACAATGAAAAAAACTTTTACAGACAAATTAGTACCAAAACAAACACTGATACACAACACAGTGGCACACCAACAGAAGAAGAACTCACAACTTATTGGTCTTCTCTTTGGTCCAATGCTGGCTGGATCAAGGAGGAGAACAGAAACTTGCACAACATACCAACTATGCCCTGTGCTGAAATAAACATACACAACATCTGCTACGCTGTTAACAGAACACACAACTGGAAGACTCTTGGTATAGACAACATTCACAATATCTGGTACAAAAAGTTTACATCACATAAACTAGCCAAACATCTGACACACATCATCATCAATCCACAAGACATGCCAAAATTTCTTACTCAGGGCATCACCTACATGAAACCTTAAAACAACAATAACAACAATAACACAGACCCCACACAATACAGACCAATTACATGTCTCCCAGCAATCTACAAATTATTGACAGTATATATCACAAATAAAATATACAAACATGTTGGAGAACATGATATTCTTACAGAATAACAAAAACAACAAAAAGATTGCCGTAGAAATCACAGGGGATGCAAAGAACAGTTACTCATAGATTCAGTCATTCTACGGCAAGCGCACAAACAACACAGAAACATACACATGGCATATATAGACTACAGAAAAGTATTCGACAGCGTTCCACACAGTTGGCTGCTACATATTCTACACATGTACAAAATACATCCATCACTCATTGCATTCTTCCAAAACACTATGCAGCACCGGAGAACAACACTACATCTCAGGGTTAGTAACACTTCGATACAAACAAATGAAATATTCATTAGGCGAGGAATTTTTCAAGGAGATTCCTTGAGTCCTCTCTGGTTCTGCCTAGCCCTGAATCCATTATCCAACATGTTAAACAACACACATTATGGCTACAATATCAGACATGAAAAAACAACACAGTTTATGCTGTCACATCTCATGTACATGGATGACATAAAACTTTGTGCATCTACACAAAAACAACTTCTTCAACTCTTATAAATCATATATTCATACACTAAGGACATACAAATGGAGTTTGGCTTAGACCAGTGGTTCCCAATTAGTTTTTCCTGCATACCACTTCAAGAAAGAACTCAAACTTGCATACCCCTTATAGCAGAAATTCATATTAATCCATACTAATATTATAAATTCAAAGGTAATTATGTCTGTCTGTCACCTTTTCACGCCTAAACCACTGAACAGGTTTCAATAAAATTTGGCACAGAGATAGCTTACACATTGGAGATGGACATGGGCTACATTTTACTGAAAGAAAATATCTTACTCCCACGAGAAAATTTGATATAATGCGGGCGAAGCTGTGGGTAGACAGCTAGTGATAAACAGAATAAGTTTTTTTACATTTATTACCTTTAAAATACAATTCTAATAATAATGAAAATAACATAAGGTTATTTAATGTGACAAATGTGCACGATTTTCTTTGCACAATTTTGTAAAATCTGGTGTTTTTTGGTCAGCTTCAGTCTCAAGTCATACTCGAGTCGAAGTCGGTGACGATGTTTAGCTTTCATGTTTGTCATGGCCGAAAATCCGCTCTTGCAGAGGTATGTTGTGCAAAATGGTNCTTTAAAATACAATTCTAATAATAATGAAAATAACATAAGATTATTTAATTTTAATGTGACAAATGTGCATGATTTTCTTTGCACAACTTTGTAAAATCTGGTTGCTTTCTGGTCAGCTTCAGTCTCGAGTCATCTTTGAGTTGAAGTCGGTGACAATGTTTAGTTTTCATGTTTGTCATGGTCGAAAATTCGCTCTCGCAGAGATATGTTGTGCAAAATGGTAGTAAATATTTTATTGCCGCTTTGTTGATGTGATAATAATGATAATTGTACAATTAACAGAAATTGTGTTAATTGTACAATTTTTGTTTTTTGCGTAAGAATTTCATTTAGTTATTGTCACAAATGCAATTTTTTGATAAAATTTCGAGACTATTTTTAGTTATAAATAAACGAATTTGTGCATTCGACATCACATTGTAAATTGCCCAATTTTTGACGGTCCACCCATTATTTTTTTGATTGCTTCATCTCATGCATTTAAATTTTAAATCAACCGATTTAAGATTGCCGCACGTATCCCTTCACGCAATTTCGCATACCCCGGGGGTACACGTACCACTAATTGGAAACCATTGGCTTAGACAAATGCAAAAAACTTCCCATAAAAAAGGAATCCTGAAGAAAGAAGATTTTGCACTTGGAAATGGAGATGTTATTGAATCCATGGAAGAGTGTGACTTCTACAAGTATTTAGGATTCCATCCAGCCAAACTAACAGAACATACACACACAAAGCAAAGATTAATGAAAGAATACCAAAAGTAGGTTGAATGCTATTCTTAGAACACAGTTAAAGCAATAAACACATATGTCATCCCAGTACTTACATATTCTTTTGGAGTTATACATTGTACTCACACAGATTTTGAACAACACTTATGAAGCATAAACAGCATCATCCTAAATCTGCCATAGAAAGATTAACTTTTCTATGTAAAGATGGCAGGCATGGCCTGATTGACATAGTTAACCTTCATTACAAACAAATATAGACACTAAGAGTTTTTATACAAAAAAACAAGTTGAGTCTGCTAGAGTTACATACAGCAGTAACTCTAGCAGACTCAAATAACACACCATTAAATTTACACTCACAACATATAGAAAGTATAGACCCCATTAAGCAATTGTGGGTTCAAAAGGCACGCCATGGCAGACATCCCTATGACCTGGCCCAGTATTTTGTTGACAAAACCGTGTCAAAACAGCTGGTTAGCTCAGGGATGCCTCTTTGGAGAGATGGAAAGATTCATGATTGCCATACAGGATCAGGTCATAAATACTAAAAACTACAGAAAACACATACTCAAAGATACAACACTCACAAATGACACACGCAGAAAATGTCACATCATGCCAGAAACTATACAACGCATTACTTCTGGGTGCAAACTCTTGGCACAGACAGATTATTTACACAGACATAATCAAGTAGCAAATATAATACACCAAGAGTTTGCAAAGTAGAGGAAGTATATCAGCAAATAAACCAGGGTCTTCGGAGAAGAGATAATAGAGATATTCTCCTAATAATGGGGAACATGAATGCAAAAGTTGGAAAGGGAAGAGAAGGAACTGTTATTGGCCCCTGGGGACTTGGAGAACATAATGAGAGAGGTGAAAGATTGATTGATTTCTGTAGGGAAAAGGTCTTAATGGTGATGAACACATGGTTCAAACACCTCGAAAGAAGACTTTATACTTGGAAAGCCCCAGGATCAAGAGGAATCAAAGTTAGAAATCAAATAGATTTCTAACTTTGTTATGATTAATCATAGATACAGGAACACAATTACAAATATAAAAACATATCCAGGGGCGGATTGTGGCAGTGACCACAACCTCTTGCTCTCTGTGATTCAGGTTAAATTGAAGCACACAAAAAGAAATAGAAATGAAAAAAGACTGAGAATTGGTGATTTGAAGATAAACAGCATTAGGGAAAAATATGAGAGTATGACTAATAATAGACTTCAAAATTTAAATTTGGAAGAAAGTGTGGAAGAACTTTGGGAGAATATGAAGGGGGAAATTAGAGAAAGTGCTTACCAGGTTTTAGGAGAGAAGAGAAGAAAAGCAAGGAGACCTTGGATTACTAAAGAAGTGTTAGAGAAAATGAATGAAAGGAGAAGATGGAAAAGTGCAAATACACTAGATGCTAAAGAAAAATATAGAACAATCGATAAGCAAGTGAAAAGTATGGCAAGAAAAGCTAAGGAAGACTGGCTAGATAGAATCTGCTATGAATTAGAAGAACATGAATCGTCACAAAATCTGAGAAAGGTCTATCAAAATATTGATTTAATCTCAAGAAAGAAAAGAAGAGTGAAAATTGGGACAATAAAGAATGAGAATGGAGAAATCTTAATGCAGAAGGAAAGGCAATTAGTAAGATGGAATGAATATCTGACAAAACTTTATAAAACAGAAGATAACATGGAATGTCAACTGGAGGAGGAATATGACAATGATGAAACCCCTAAATTTCTGGAGGATGAAGTTGAAGTAGCCTTGAAAAAATTGAAGAATGGGAAGGCACCTGGAATTGATGGCTTACAAGGGAAATTGCTTAACTCAATGGGTTCTGAGGGAAGAAAGATTATGAGTCATGTTCTTAATAAAATTCTAGCAGGAGAACAACTACCCACAGACTTTATTAATTTAATATTTATACCTATACCCAAAATAGAAGGAACACTGGAATGCGACAAACATAGAATAATAAGTTTAATAAGCCATATCTCAAAAGTTTTAACTACTACTATCTATAGTAGAATAGAACTGAAAATTGAAGCAGAACTAAATAATACACAATTTGGATTTAGAAAAAACAAAGGAACTAGAGAGGCCATTACATTAATTAGACTTATTGGTGAAAACATGATTGAAAAAAAATAGGGATCTTTATCTGTGCTTTGTGGACTATGTAAAGGCGTTTGACAATGTTAATCACACAGTTTTATTTGAAATACTTCAAAAAATCGGAATAGATAAAAAGATAATTAAAATTATTCTCTCTTTATACAAAAATCAGAAAGCAATAATAAAAATTGATGAAGAAGAATCCAACTGGATAAGGGTGGAAAAAGGAGTGAGACAGGGATGCGGACTTTCGCCACTGCTATTTAATATTTACAGTGAGTGGATGATGCGAGAAGCACTTGAGGATTGCAACAAAGGAGTGAAAATCAATGGATGCTTGATAAATAATATAAGATATGCTGACGACATAGTCCTGCTGGGTGAAAGTAAAGAGGGATTACAGAAAATTCTGAATCGACTGTTCAAAACCGGATTGGAGAAATTCCATATGAAAATAAATGAACAGAAGACAAAAGTAATGAAGGTTTCAAAGAGTGAAGATATGGATGAATTCCAGATCATTCTGGGAAATAAGGAACTTGAAGGGGTTAAAAAGTTTGAATATCTAGGAAGCTGGATAACAAGTGATAATAGATGTAACACGGAAATTAAAAGCAGAATTAATAAAACAAAAGCTGTATTTTATCAGATTTACCATATATTAACAAACAGAGGCCTTAACATAAAACTGAAATAAAGATCCTAAAGACAATGATCTGAAGTGTATTAACATATGGATGTGAGGCGTGGACTCTTGCACGTGAAATGATGGAATGAATTAACTCTTTTGAAATGTGGTGCCTGAGAAAGATGCAAAGAATAAGTTGGATGGAGAAAATGACAAATGCGGAGGTTTTGGGCAGGCTGGTCTTGAGGAGAGAGTTGCTTATAAATATCCAACAAAGAAAAGTACGATATGCTGGACATTTGGCTAGAGGATCAGTAGGACAACTGCTAAAGACGGTGATTGAGGGACTGGTGGAGGGAACAAGAGACCTAGAGGAAGACCCCAAAAGACTTGGAGAGACATCAAGGACTGGACTGGAAAGGATTTAAGAGAAGCCTGGAATAGGGAAACATGGAGAGGAATAGTTCATCAAATGCAATCCTCTGTAGAGAGGATGCCACTGGATAGACAGAAGAGCTTGCAAACAAACACAAATTACTAGACATCCATGAACCATACTACAAATACATACCACAAACAGTATTGGAAAACAACACACACAAAATGTACTACAACAGAGCCATAATCACAGATAAAACAATTTACCACAACAGACCAGACATCACACTCATTGACAAACACAGTAAAATCACATACATTATAGATATATCTGTTCCAAACACACACAATATACAAAATACACTGAAAAAATAAGCAAGTACACAGAACTCATCCAGGAAATAAGGCATCTGTGGAGGATGGATAGGGTGCTTATTGCACCTGTTGTTCTCTCCTCTACAGGTGTCATCCACACACACTACACAAAAGCCTTGGCACATTACAATTGAATAGATATACAGTAGAGCGTCGTTTATCCGAATCAATTGGGGACTGAGGTTGTTCGGTTCACTTATTTTTCGGATAACCAATTATGTACGAAAAAATATATTAATTTATCCCGTGTTAAAATTTTTCCCCGTTGCGTGTCGCTTCGCGTTGAATTTTCGTCGATGTTAAGCCTAACGAAGACTATTGTATCGTTAAAAATTATTTTTTTATTTTGTACAAACAAAATAAATTTATTGAAAAATATAAAAACAATAAAAAATTATACTTCAGAAGTTAATTTAGTATAAAAAACGTAAAATATTTGAGTAGCCCAAGACATAGACAAAGATTACAGCGCCACAGCACTGGCGAAAATTTAAATTTGCCGACTGGAATTCCTTCAGATAACCGACGTTTCAGATAACCGACCTTCGGATAAACGACGCTCTACTGTATATACATCACACCACAGAAGGCCACATCACATATTGAGTCTGCTAGAGAATCTGCTCACACCACATCACATATTGAATACATGCCATATTGTTCGGAAATTCCTGAATATAGACACACACACTGACACACTTATTTAATTTTAGTTTTGTTTTGGTTACTATGCCTTGACTCTGGTCAGGTATAGTATACAGCTGCCGGTGCCAACCGAGTATAACTCACTAAACTCAACATAATAATAGGTTTGTGGCATTACGTAATTCTATTAATAGCATCATATCATACATTTTTGAGGAGAATAATATTTTGGTGTACTGTATTGAGTCATGGGAGTGCCGCAAGTAGGTAAAGGTTGTGGAACATTGGTCTAGAATGGTCTATTTCTTGTTTGTAGTGCAAACTTCTAACAAGTGAAAGTGTAGTCCACTTCAGAAATTCATGCAACTACATCTCGCACATTTTGGAGTCCAACTATGTAATGACGCACAACTTCAAGACCTTCAGATGCATTGTATATGCATCAATATATAAACCAAATTTTTACTTTTATTCAAATAATAATAAAAAAATTAAAAATTTTACTAACAATTACAAAATAAAATACAGTACAGCTGTCCCTTGATAGTCTGACATTTTGTAATCCGACATGCTCAGTAGTCCGACGCATCTCCCATCAAGGTACCCGTTTCCATTATGTGTCTGCTTGCACAGAAGCATGTCATGACGTGAATCTCCCCACCCAATTCTTACACGATGACACACATTTTGTGTGTTTTCCGTGAGCAGTTCTGTTTGGACAGTTGGAAATATTGTATGCTACTGCTAGCAAAACAATGCCAAATACGTAATCTCTTTCAGTAATCGGACATATTTGGTAATCCGACACCCCTGTGGTCTCATACCTGTCGGATTATCAAGGGATAGCTGTATTTCCTTTTTCTGAATTATTCCAACTGATTATTTTTCTAAAAAATTAATCAGGCAGATCATCCCTGTTTTTGTTTTGATTCAGACTAGCAACAAAAATCTCAGTTTGATTTTTATTATTGTACATAATCTGCTTGTTACAACTTTCTATAGTAAATACTGGTACATATAAGTATCACTTCTAAACCTTTAGATTTCCAGTAAGATACAAATTCAACTAACTGAACGAACATCTTCAATTCTCTACCAAGATCTGCTTCAAGTTCATAATCGTTCCAACTATGGAATGCCAAGAATTCAAATGTTTTTGAATACAAATTAATTTGAATAATTGTGCTAGATATAATGTATAGACCAGGAATGGCGAACCTGTGGCACGTAAGGAGAAATCATCTGGCACATAATGTATCATACGATTTCTGTCTTTTTCAATCATCTTTTCGGTTTATTACCTTATCATCATTTTTTCAATCAGCTTTTCTACATTTATTCTAATTAAAGCGTATTCATTTAATTTCTTTAAATATCATTATTCAAAGTCCGAAACTTTGGCACGTATAAGCATCTTTAAAGTTAAGTATGCTTAGAATATGACACGTGACACACAAAAAGGTTCGCCATCCCTGGTATAGACAAAAGACCCCCATATCTGTATATTAATGCATTGGCTCATCCTTATATTAATAATATGTAATTATTGATGGGGATGCTCTTCAATATGCATATTGCCACGCATACGATATCATGTTGTTGTCTTTGAAATTTATACAATTACCCAACCTGCTTGTTTTATAAAAATCTACTCGTACAATTTAAAATTGTTACTGTTGAATATATAATTCTCATAGCACATTTTTGTGTAAGTATAATTTTACTGTAATACAAAAACTAATCATTTCTGTAGGCCTAATTAATTTATTTAATTTTTTTTGGTTAAATAATAAAGTTAAATAAAATGTTTTTACAAAAAATTCCACTATTTAGACTAGTGTTATTATCACTATGCCACTGTACATTAAAAAAAACCCATTAATTAATTTAGTGAAATTCTGTTAGGGTTGGCAACATTGCTTTAGATCATCAAATACCCAACACAAACATTACAGTGGAGGCTACAATGCCCTTCTGTCATGATTAAAGAATTCCAGTGCATGCAGCTTCTGAGAAAAAAACACTTCTATTGTGAATACACGATGTGATGTGGGCAGGCATGGAGGCATACAGGTGCCATATGATGTCCAGCAGCATCTCAGTCCACAGTTGCTGCAAGCAGTTCTCTAGTTCAGTCAAACTTAAGGTGACCAGATTTTAACATTGGCGAAGTGGGATAAAATTGACAGGGGGAGGTAGTTGTCTTGTTGAAAAAAACTGTTATAGGGCAACAAAATTTTGTCATCAAAGAATGCAAAAATTGTATTGTATTATATTTTTTAAAATTTCAACATGTAAAATTTACAAATATAATAAATATATAACACTATTATAAATCTTTAAAAACTCTTTATTCTTTCGCATATTTCTCAGTTGAGTGAACTTTTTTTAGTCGAGTGCTGTCATTGTTTAAAATGTCATGAAATTTTTTGCAAGAATTTGTTAATTGTGATTTATCAGATGTCCACATTTTATTTACGGTAGAAAAAATGTGTTCAGTCGTGGCATTGGTTCCTGGTAAGGACAGCGCATATTCCACAATTTTTAATGCATTATTGTATGGAACATTGTTTCAAAATGATGAAATATTTCTAACCATTTGTTCTCTGTTGACATTTTTGCCAATGCCCAAGATTTAATCTTTTCCCTATCAATATATTTTTTAAATAATGATAACTCATTAAAAAGATCGTTTTCGGAAATATTACTATCTGGAAAATGTTGACTAATGTGATCGAATGATTTTTGCACATCTTTCCAATTAAGTTCTTGTTTTAATATAACCCAATGAAAGTGTTCAATATCATTGTAATGTACTGTACTTTCCACTCTTCTAAATAATCTAAGCAGTCACTATAGAACTTTTTGGCATGATTCATGAAATTTGCACGATCTATTGCACCTTGTTCTTCTAACTGACTTATACTTTTACAGATGGTTAACGAAAGAAAAACGGGAGGCTTGCTGCTCCGTTGCTGCAGCTGTGCACCCTAAACCACTTTTTGTCAGTCTTTGCCACAAACACAAAGGGTTTTGTTGACGGAGCATTCTTTATTTCCGATTTTCATGCACACCTTGGTACTGACACGTGATAAAAAATGATCTTTACAAATCTTAAGCATAAGACATAAGTTTATGACAAATAATTGACAAAAACTTAATCTTTCCAAAACTCGGGACTTTTTTAAAAAGCCGTGGGACGTGGGACAAATTGTTAAAAATCGGAACCTTAGTCAAACTCCTATGCTGTCCAACTTGGCTTCCCAGACATGTTCAATCAGTGACAAATCAGGGGACTAGGCAGACCAGGGAAGTGTGGCAATGTGGCAGAGGCAGTTCTGTGATATCCTTGCTATGTGGTCAAGCATTGTCCTGTTGGAAAAAGGCTCTTGGGAGCCCTGCCATAAAAGGTAACACATTTGGCTGCAGGATGTCATTAACATACCGCTGGGCTGTCATGGTCTCTTT